CTGGATTAGAATCCACTTCTTGCCTTATCCCGGACAGGGACCCCGAGGTCGTTAGGAGCGAGTCAGAGACGCGTGCGAAGCAGGCGGTTCCAAATTCAGGAAAGCTGCTAGCAAACTCAAACTGGCCTTACTCAGTAGGAAAATTGATGGTTGCTTAAACATGGTTTACAAAACAAAACCCAGGCGGGCCGGTTTTTAAGATACCCTGTTCCTCCAATATCTGAACCTAGTCAACGAAAATAACCAGCATTCCCTCCACCCGCGAAGGCGGGTTTTCATTTTGCTTTCGGCTGGTGTGTGTGTGTGTGTTTGTGTGGTTTAGCGTTGAGTAAGACCCCCCTTTGGATTCGTTTCTGGTCCGAGGCAGCGAGCGAATGAATTTAGGAAGCGGGTCAAGCAGGTTGTGTGGACGCAGCTGCTGGGAAAACCGGGGCGGCCACGGTTTAACCAAGGGCGTCCGATGCCACACGGTCGAAGTTGGGTTCCCCCACCCACGGGAATAAACCACGGTTTGTGGAATATAGACTCTCATTGGCTGGATTTACCTAGGACAAATCAACTCAAAAAAAAAAAAGCTGGTTTTGTGGCTAAACGCAACTTGCGGGCCAGGAGGTCTGCCTCTGTTGTGACAGCCGCGAAACACCCGCCTAGTAGTCAATTTGGGAAGGGGGATTGGATCCTTTGTGTGTGTGTGTGTGTGTATGTGGGTGGGGGAGAGACATTGGAAGCCATTTTTGGGTGCCAATGTCCCCCCCCTAAGGTGCATGAAGGTGGACGGGGGGGGGGTTCGCGCCAGGTGCGAAGCGGAAAGAAAAATGTGTGTGTTATTGTTCCTTTTATTATTCTGAGTTCTTCGGAATGGGTCCGCTTTGCCTCGAGAGACACGCGAAGATCCTTCACTTTAGCGGAGACGCTGACTAGAGAACCCGGCTCCAGATTCCAACGTTACCAGGGACATTTAAATCTGCCCGAACTGTCCTGATCAGTCCCCCCCCCACACACACACACCGTCTCCCCAACCGCAAGGAAGATCCACAGCCACTCATCCCCAACCCACCGACCGGGCCTGGCGGTGGCCTTTTGGAAAACCACCTTCCGAGCCGAGAATTTTCTCAGATCGGCTCGGAGAACGTCGGTCGTCTCCTGCCCCTTGCGCGAAGGGCCGCATCGAGGCTGGGGAGGGGGCGGCGGCGGCGGCGGCGGAAAGAGACAAAGCCCAGGCCGAATTAAGCGCCGACCCTTTGCGCTTCTCTAAGGGGAAAACCTCGCAGCCGCGCGGCTCTGCGCGCGGGGAAGAAGACGGGCGTCTCCTTCGGCGGGGGTCCCTTCCCGGCTAGACCGAGCACCCCTCAAGCCCCCGCGGGGGCAGGCAGAGGAAAGGGGTCGCTTTAAACTTAAAAAGCGGCGGGTCCGGCTTTGAAAAAGCGCTCTCTCTCTCTCTCTCTCTCTCTCTCTTTTTCTCTGTCTCTCTCTCTCTTCTCCCTCTTTCTCTCTCTCTCTCTCTCTCCTTTTTCTCCCTTCTCTCTCTCTCTCTCTCCCTTTTCTCCCTTCTCTCTCTCTCTCTCTCTCTCTCTCTCTCTCCCTTTTCTCCCTCTTTTCTCTCTCTCCCTTTTCTCCCTCTTTCTTTCTCTCTCTCTCTCTCTCTCTCCCTTTTCTCCCTTTTCTTTCTCTCTTCTCCCTCTTTTCTCTTTCTCTCTCTCCCTTTTCTCCCTCTTTCTTTCTCTCTTTCCCTTTTCTCCCTTCTCCCTCTCTCTCTCTCCCTTTTCTCCCTCTTTTTTCTCTCTCCTCCCTCTTTTCTCTCTTTCTCTCTCTCCCTTTTCTCCCTCTTTCTTTCTCTCTCTCCTTCTCCCTCTTTTCTCTCTCTCTCTCCCTTTTCTCCCTCTTCTCTCTCTCTCTCTCTCTTCTCCCTCTTTTCTCTCTCTCTCCCTTTTCTCCCTCTTTTTTTCTCTCTCCCTTTTCTCCCTCTTTTTTCTCTCTCTCTCCTCCCTCTTTTCTCTCTCTCTTTCTCTCTCTCCCTTTTCTCTTTCTCTCTCTCTCTCCTTCTCCCTCTTTTCTCTCTCTCTCTCTCCCTTTTCTCCCTCTTCTCTCTCTCTCCCTCCCTCTTTTATCTCCCTCCTCTCCCTCTCTCTCTCTCTCTCTCTCTCTCTCTCTCTCCCTCTCCCTCTCCCTCTCTCCTTCCTGTTTAATACAGTTTCTTTTTTTCTTCAGTCAGAGCCGAAGAAGCTTCTTGGATGAGAAGCGAAACGTCTTCAAAGAAAAACAAGGAAGTCCAGTCGCCTCTTGGGAAAAAAAAAACAAACCTTTGGGACAACCGTGTCCTGGATGACTGAGAATCTCCACGTTTTTCTTTAAATCTTTTTTTAATTTTTTTTTTAAATGTCTCTGCACATTTGCGGGGCTCCCTTTTTGTGGCTTTTGCACATAGCCTGGATGGGAGCGCGTCTCTCGCGCTGATGTTCCCGAATTCGTTCGGTTTGAAAGGCGGTTGGCGCGCCCCTCCCGCCTTTCCCAACGCGACCCACAGCCCCAATTCCTGCGCCTCCCGTTAACTTTCGTTCCCCGCTCGCCCTTCTAAACGAGCGCTCGCTCGCTCGCTCCCATGGAAAGCAATCTGCCCTGCTCAAACAAGGACCGGAGCAAGGCGGCTCGGCCGGGCGTGCGCTCCCGGAGCAGATCGGTAAACCCAAAGGCGAGGCGCCGATCCTCCGCGCTTCTCCCCGGAAAGCAGGCCTTAAAACCTTTAAACTAAGGACCCGCGGGGGAACGATTTCTTTGGAAAAACTAGAATAAACAAAGGGAGCCGCATTTAATAGGAAACCATCACCAGGCCGGGCTCAAGAGACTCTTTTGAGGCGGACTGAGGTTCGCTTTGCCGAGCAGGGATGCGCGTTTTTTTTCCAAAGCCAAGCTCGGCGGGGGTCTCCAAATTTCCCCGGAGGCCATCCGGAAGAAATTGGCTTACTTGCATATATATATATATATAAAGCCGCCACAAGCGACAAACACAATGCCAACCTCAGCTGTCCGAAGCCCGAGGCGGGCTGGGACCGATGGGACGTGTAGTCCCCTCCCTTTCGAAAGAAAGCCGGCGGGATCGACTCCCCCTCTCCAACGCGCGTCCTGGAATAATTCTGGCCAGCTTCACAAGACGCGGGGATGTCGGGATCGACTCGTTGCCTAAATATGGGGCGCTCCAGGGCCTTCCTGGCCTGGAATTGGGGAGATCGGGCGGTTGAACAGAGGCCGGATTTCTCCGTGGGTTTCCCCCCCCCGGGTGATCGCGCACCCCGTTCCCCCAACCGAATGGACGCCCTTCCCCGTTCAACTTTCAGCTCGCTATGGATTCGTGGACCCGACTCAGCTCGCCTCTAATTCTACACGCATATCTAGGTTCGCACACCCGCCTCTAATTCTACACGCATATCTAGGTTCGCACACCCGCCTCTAATTCTACACGCATATCTAGGTTCGCACACCCGCCTCTAATTCTACACGCATATCTAGGTTCGCACACCCGCCTCTAATTCTACACGCATATCTAGGTTCGCACGCACGCCTCTAATTCTACACGCATATCTAGGTTTGCACGCCCGCCTCTATTTCTACACGCATATCTAAGGCTCGCACACCGCCTCTAATTCTACACGCATATCTAGGTTCGCACGCACGCCTCTAATTCTACACGCATGTCTAGGTTCGCACGCCCGCCTCTATTTCTACACGCATATCTAAGGTTCGCACACCGCCTTTATTTCTACACGTGTATCTGGGCTCTCACTCCCCACGCGCCTAGCACAATAGATTCCACATAGGTGACAGACAAAGTATTTTTTCCATTATCTACACACCGGCCGCGCTTTCCTTTTCCTGGCTCCCTTTGTGGGAAGCTCAGCTGCACCGCGGCTCGGGTCCCAGCGCAGCGCCGGTTTGGCTCGGATCCTAAGGCCGTCCCGCTTGTTCCAGGAAAAAAAACGCGGGTAAAAGGACAAGGCTTCCTCCCCTCCCCTCCCCGCATGTAAAAGCTTTCTTCCCTCTTCTCCCTTCTCACGCCAGGCCGACGGTGGCCCCGCTCGACCAGAAACCCGGGAACAAAGGCCACCCAGAAATCGCGCTTTCCCAAAAGCGGAACCTCCCAAGCGCGCAAGGCGCTGAACGAGGCCGGGCCGTCGTTGGTCCGAGAGCTTCGTCCAGCCCTGGCCTGGGTCGGACGGAAAAGACCCTAATCCGCCTGGAAATTCCCAAGAGGAAGAGGAAGGGGAGGGAAAGCGCTTTGCACGCGCTCAGAAATGCTGTCGGCGCTTCCGGCGAGGGGGGGATTTTTTCCCCCAGAGCCTTTGAAGCCGAACCTAAGGCCGAAAGGAGAGGCGACCCTCGCGTGGCATATCTCCCCGCTGAAGGAGGCGTTGGACGGGTTGGCAACTGAACGTGGGAGTCGAAGAGGAAGGAAACAGGGTCAAAGGACAAGTTCTCGGGACGCGGAACAATTGGGCGGCAATGCCAAAGAAGACCAGTAAATCCACCCCCCCCCCCAAGTCCAAGGTAAGAGCAGTCGCCGGCATCGAGAGAGTTTCTCCTAAGAAGGAACAAGCCTGCGTCCCGATTCCCACAAGGCGTTGGTCCAGGTCAGGGAAGGCCCTAACTCTCTGCGCCCAATCCGTGGCAGCGTTACCCTTTTTGTTCCATTCTGTTTTATTTTAAGATTTGGGAAGTCTTAGCAGCCTTCTTGGAGCCCAGCCCGCCAGGTTTACTCTCTGGCCCAACGTCTTGCGAACACCTGAATCCGGTTGAATTCAGGGAGTAGGTTAAGCGCGTCGTGCGAATGCGGTGGAGGGTGGGGGGGTTAACTACCGTGTCCAGAGACCCAGATTAGTGTCGTAAAAAATGGAGAGAGAGGCGAAGGAAGGAAGGAAGGAAGGAAGGAAGGAAGGAAGGAAGGAAGGAAGGAAGGAAAGAAGGAAGGAAGGAAGGAAGGAAAGGCAAAGCCCTTTGGGGTAACTTACCTAAAAAAGTCGTTTTTACAGTAGAGTTTTCCTTCTCGAGAGAAACACTTCTCCGTCAAGTTGCATTTACACTCGCAACACTGGACGCATTTCACGTGCCAAGCCCGGTCCAGGACGTTGAGCAGGAAGCGGTCCAGGATGGGTCTTTTGCAACCGGCGCAGTGAACCATTGTCTTTGGCTAGAGGTCGTGCTGGGGGGCGTGGGGCGGGGGGGCGGCGTGGCGTGGAGGTGTCGGAGAAAGGCGATCCCGAAGTTGGCCGAGAGCAAGTCCGTTGCTTGAGTGGCCCTTCCCCGGGGTTTCAGAGCAGGGGGACGAAACGAAGGCGAGCCCCCCCGAACGCCAGGCTCAAGCGAGACCCCGACGGTGGCAGGCAGAGTCAGAGAAAGGAGCCCCTCCTGGCTCCCTTGGCAGAGCCTGAAGCGAGCTGGCAGCTGGTCTTGACAAGGTCGGGGCAGGAGCGGCGATGCCCCCTCAGACGCCCCTCTTAGTGCATCTCGCCCACCGCCTTTTCCTTCTCAATTGTTCCAACAACGACAATAATAATAATAATAATAACAATCAGCGATCTTCCCTTCCCGGTCCGGAGGGTTTGGTGGTGAGTCGAGAATCAAAAACAACAAAAAAAGAGAAAGTTAATAATAATAATAATGTCCTTTTTTTTTTTTCCCTCCTTCTCAGCTCTAGGAACGTTTGCAAGGGAAGTTCTCCAAAATAAAGCCGGCTAAGAATAGTAACAACAATAGTAAGAGAGGAGGATGGACAAATCGGAAGACGAAGGAACACCAATCAGTCGTCAAAAGAAAAAGAAAAAGAAAAAAAGAAAAAAAACAAAGGCGAGGGAGTCTCTCAGGTTTGAGGTAGAGCAGTCCGAGGTCAAAGTGCAATCGAGGACCAAATATACATATATAGATATATATCTGTATATAAATACAGATATATATTCTTTAAAAATCCCGCCTTCTCCTCCTCTTCTCTTTTCCTCCTCGCGTGGGGAAAAGAAAAAAAAAATAGCAATTTAGCAATAAATTAAAAAGGGGCCGCGGGGACCGCAGGCGAACGGCAGGTCGACGGTGCAGAAGCGGGAGCGGATCGTTTTCACCTGGGCCAGCAGGAAGAGCCGAGCCGAGCCGAGAGTCGGAGGGCGTCAGAGACAATTGGGGTTCCGCTCTACAAAGAGTTTCATCTTAGGAATCGAGAACAAGGAATCCCCCCAATTTCTTCCTTTCCGGTCTTTTTCTCCTCGGTGGCTTTTGCGAAAGGGTGGTTTGGTTTGGTTTTGTTTAATCAAACCATTAAATATATATATATATATATAAAATAAAAGTTGTCCTAAAAAAGACTACTCGGCCTTTCCGCCTGCGTCCGTTTACTTCTCTATTGGGCTCCGCGCGTTTGCCCAATGTTAAAAGAATGAAAAAATCCAAATCAAATCAAATCCCTTGGCCTTGGGGGGGGGGTGGGGGGGTGGAAAAATAGAGAGAGAGGAGAGAGGGGAGCCAGGGGAAAAAAAAAAATTAAGTGACCTACCCCCTTTACGAGTGCCTGGATGCTGGACTCCCCCAGCGCTTCGCCCGGTTCGTGGGGACGGCTCGGGTGTCTGCGGGCTGGGTCGAGGCTGCCTGCCTGCCGGGTGGGGGGGGGGAGTGGGGAGGGGGGGTGGGAAAGGGAAGAAAGAAAAGAAGGGGACGGAGCCCGCACCGGAGATGGGGTGGGGGGGGGAAAGCAATGCCTGGAGGTCTCCCTCTTTTTCCCCCCCTTGCTCCCCCAAGCCTATTCCGCTTTCCCAAGGCGCGCGCGGGGGGGGGGTTGAGTGGGGGACAGTGTCCTCTTGGCTGGCTGCTTCGCCAAGCGCGCGCCCGCGCGCGCCTCTGTCTGTCTCTCTTGTCTGCTTGTCTCCCCTGCCTGCTTTCCTTTCCCCCCCCCACCCGCGCCCGGCTTGGCTGCGCCCCGGCTCGGCTCGGCTTCGGCCCGGCCGCCTTTAGACTGCGGTTCGGCTTCGGCCTCGCCTCCGAAGCCTTATGCAGCGAGCGGAGACGTCACGGCAGCCGCCGGCCAATCGGCGCCCGGCTGGGGCCAGCTGCCCCCTCCCTCCCTCCCTCCTTCCCTCCCTCCCCCCCCCCCTGCACCCCCAACCCTCTCCGCGCCTGGCCTCGGCTCCCGGGCGCCTCGGAGCGTCTTTGGCGGCTGCCCGCAGAGCCGGCTGCTTGTCGAGAGGCGGAGAGAGGAAGGAGGAGACCCCCCCCAGCCCCCCCCTCCGAGAGAGCGGTACGTTTAGGTCAAGCCACGCTGCCGCCCCCCGCCCCCCACCCATGTCACAGGAGGGTTGGGGGGGTGGAGAAGGGGAAAAGGATGGAGGTGGGGCGGGGGGGGGCGCCGAGCACGTCTGGAAAGCGCCGGCCTGGAAGTTTTCGACGGGGCAAACTGGGATGGGGGGGCTTTTGCCCAGCAAAGGTTGGGGGTCCCGGCTGAGCTGAGCTGAAGCTTTGCGGGAAGGTCCGGGCGTTTCGGGAAAGCGCGGTGGAGGAGGACGGAGGAAAAGTCGGGAAAGTCTCCCTTCCTTTTAAAATGTTCCTTCCTTCCTTCCTTCCTTCTTCTTTCTTTCTTTCTTTCTTTCTTTCTTTCTTTCTTTCTTTCTTTCTTTCTTTCTTTCTTTCTTTCTTTCTTTCTTTTTTCCTTCCTTCCTTCCTCTTTCTTTCTTTCTTTCTTTCTTTCTTTCTTTCTTTCTTTCTTTCTTTCTTTCGTCCTTCCTTCCTTCCTTTCTTCCTTCCTTCCTTCCTTTCTTTCTTTCTTTCTTTCGTCCTTCCTTCTTTTCTTTCTTTCTTTCTTTCTTTTTTTCTTCCTTCCTTCCTCTTTCTTTCTTTCTTTCTTTCTTTCTTTCTTTCTTTCGTCCTTCCTTTCTTTCTTTCTTTCTTTCTTTCTTTCTTTCTTTCTTTCTTTCTTTCGTCCTTCCTTCCTTCCTTCCTTCCTTCCTTCCTTCCTTCCTTCCTTCTCTTCCTTCTCTTTCTCTCCCTTTTCTTTCCCTTGTTTTATCGTTTTCTTCTGGCTTCATTTTTTTTTTCTCCGTCGTCCTTCTTCCCTCTCTTTCCTTCCTCCTTTTTATCCTTCCTTTCCTTCCTCCCTCCCTGGGAAGAGGTGAAGAAGGGAGGATCAAGCAGAACAGTCAATTCCACGTTCATTTCCCTGACGGGATATCCCAAGAAAGCCAAAGTGTGTGGGGGGGTTCCTTTTTGATCGACAGAGCTTCCATACCGAACGGAGAACCCCTTCCGCGTTCCCACTGGTTTCTACCCTTTCCCCCCAAAAGCAGAGAAAATTAACGAAGGGAAAGAGGCTGCTGGAGAAGGAAGGGAGGTCCTATTAATCGCCCAAGAGGGGAGGGGGCGGCGTTTGCACGCATCCCCTCCAACGCATCTAAGCAGGAAAATCTAAAAGTTTACAACTGGCAAAAGGAAAACAACTAGTGCCGGAATGTAATTTAGGTCCGTGTGTGAGGGTGTGTGTGTGTGTGGGGGTGTTATCTGCCAAAATGATGGACGGTATCAGTGGAACGCGGGCCTCTTGAGGGCTAGCACCTTGGTCAGGAAAGTATTGCGGCCAGAGGGGGCTGCTCTCAAAAACCCCTGGCTTTTCAGCGCGCGCTGGTAAATCTTGGCGGGCCCAAAATGGGGGCGCTCACAAAAGGCTCCCCTGACTTCCCCCTTACCTGGGAATTGGCACCTTTCGCCCCAGAGGGGGCTACCTTCGGAGCACAGAGGGATCCCGGCCGCCAGCGAAGAAGGAATAAAAAACTCCCCACGCCGGAATTTCTTAGGGAAATTCTTCGTGCGTGGGAAATGAGGATTAGCCAATCTAGGTTTCCTCCCTCCTGTCCATTTTTGCAGAAATGACCTGAATTTCTTTTCAAAGGGAAATGAAGGTTGAGTCCCGTCCCCTACCCACCCGCAATGAAAATAAACGTGAAACCTCTGGAGGGGTCGTGATTCCACGCATCCCTACCTGGTGGGTAAAGCCCAAGGGTCAGTGTGAGGCTTCTTTTGATGTCCCTACCAAGGAGAGTGGCGCCGACAGATAAGAGTTTATATTTGCAGCGTTTTGTTTATTTTGGACGTTTATTCTGGTTTTGGTTCTCTCTCGGTGTGTATGTGTGTGAGAGAGAGAGGAAGGGGAGGGAGAAAGAGAGAGGGGGGGGGAAGAGAGACCGAAAGAGGGAGGAAGAGAGAGAGATGGGGAGAGAGGGGGAGAAGGGGGAGAGAGAGTGGGGGAGGGAGAGAGAAATAGGGAGAGGGAGAGAGAGAAAGAGAGGGAGAGAGAGAGACGGAAGGAGGGAGGGAGAAAGAGGGAAAGAGGGATGGAGAGAAAGGGGGAGAAGGGGGAGAGGAAGGGAGAGAGAAAGGGGGGAGAGAAAGAGGGGGAGAGAGAGTGGGGGAGGGAGAGAGAAATAGAGAGGGGGAGAGAGAGAAAGAGAGGGAGAGAGAGAGACGGAAGGAGGGAGGGAGAAAGAGGGAAAGAGGGATGGAGAGAAAGGGGGAGAAGGGGGAGAGGAAGGGAGAGAGAAAGGGAGAGAGGGGGAGAGAGAAGAGGGGGGAGAGAGAGACAGAAGGAGGGTGGAAGAGAAGGAGAAAGAGAGAGGGAGGAGAGGGAGAAGGGGAGAGGGAGGGAGAGAGAAAGGGGGGAGAGAGAGAAAGAGGGGGGAGAGAGTGGGAGAGGGAGAGAGAAATAGAGAGGGGGAGAGAGAGAAAGAGGGGGGAGAGAGAGACGGAAAGAGGGTGAAAGAGAGGGGAGGAGAGGGAGAAGGGGGAGAGGGAGGGAGAGAGAGGGGAGAGAGAGTGGGGGAGGAAGAGAGAAATAGAGAGAGGGAGAGAGAGAGAAAGAGGGGAGAGAGACGGAAGGAGTGTGGAAGAGAGGGAGAGAGAGGGAGGAGAGGGAGAAGAGGGGGAGAGAGGGAGGGGGAGGGGGAGGGGAGGAGAAGAGAGGGGGAGGGGAGAGGAGAGGGGAGGGGGGGAGGGGAGGAGGGAGGGGGGGAGAGAGAGGGAGGAGAGAGAGGAGGAGGGAGAGGGAGAGAGGGGAGAGGGAGAAGAGGGGGGAGGGGAGGAGCGAGAGAGGGAAAGAGGGAGTGAGGGAGAGGAAAAGGAGATAGAGGGAGGATGAGGGGAGAGAGAGGGGAGAAGGAGAGGGGAAGGGAGAGAGAAGGGGGAGAGAGGACGTAGGAGAGGGGAAAAAGAGAGAGGGGAGGGAGGAGAGAGGAGTGAGAGGGGAGGGTGGAGAGGAAGGGGAGAGAGGAGGGAGACGGGGGGGGAGGAGAGAGGGGGGAGAGAGAGAGAGGGGGACGAGGGGGAGAGAGTGGGGGCGTGGGAGAGAGAAATAGAGAGGGGAGAGAGAGAGAGGAAGAGAGGGGGAGAGAGGGAGGAGAGACAGAGAAAGCGGGGGGGGGAGACAGGGAGACCAAGAAGGGAGGAGAGCAAGGGAACGGAGCCTCGTGCCCGCGCGTGTCACAGATAAAGCTTTGGGAAGTTGAGAACAGAGGAAGCGGAAGTCCTTCGCCTAGTTCAGGGAGCACAAGGGGCGCTCGCCAACTTCCCCCCCCCCCACCTTAAAAGCCGGCGCGGTGACACATTTTTAAAATCCTCCCTGCTTCCCTTCCTCCCCCGCCGCCGTGATTACTTAGCCTGGGTCTCGTTTCCCCAACGTCTCCCCCTCTTGGTCCTTTAAGCAAAACCTGGAGAGGGGGGAAAGACGGAGGATTCATTTGCAGGGGGGGGGGAAGTTAAATTAAACTCTCCCGATCCCCATCTCTTTCTCTCCCTTGACCCCCCCCCACCCCCCCCAACTTCAAATAACTTGATTTTCTGTTTTAGACAAAGCCCTGAGCCGAAGCATCTCGCCGACCTACGGGATAGAAAAGCGCGAGAGACCTCATGAATGTATTTATAAACGGTCCTCTTTTTCCTCCGGAGTAGAAAAGCCATCCAACGGATCCCTAAAAATAAAAATCATAATAAATAAAAAAAAAGCCACGTTGTCACTGCTAAAGGAGAGAACCTCAAATCAGCCGGGTTTTATTTTTATTTTAGATATTTGCCTTTTTTTAAAAGGGAGAAATTGAAGGGGAAGGTAACCTTCCGCCCCACCCAACCCCCTTTTCCCTTGTAGTTATTATTCGATTTTTAAGGCAGATTTAAGCCGTCTTCTTTGCTTACATTTTCCCAAACCAGCCTTTTAGACGGTAAAAAAATGTG